TTCTGCCCCTTGAATAATATTGATTTCTTCTGAGTTCTTCCATTTTGTTCTCTGACTCTCATGGTGGCGACTTTCCTTCAGTATTTTCTGATCTTGGGTGTCTGTTCTTGTTCAGCAACTGGAAGCTCTGTACATACTAGATCTGTCACAAGTAGGCTTTACTCTTGATTGAGAAGGTAGTAAGGTGGCTTTCTTTTGGGTGACTCTCAAATGTTGTTATCTACAGAGTGTCTTATCTTGGGCCAGTGTCAGTATTCTACTTGGGAACTATAAGCTTGGCTGCCAATTGTACAAGTTGAAAAGAATCCTCAGTTTCCCCTTGCCTGGGCCAGCTCTGGGCACACAGTCACTGTTTCTCCATAGAGGCTGATATTCTCTCCCTGGGACCCACAGTGATAATTGACTGGTGCATGATTTTAGGGTTCAATCCACTTAAATGTCTCTCCTGTCCCATACTGTAAACAATTACCTTATTGATTGTTGGAAGACACTCAATTTCTTAGTATCCTCTTCCTCTAGGCATGGGGCACTGCTACATTTATAGCAATGCTCAGCAAATTAGCTTATGTTCTGGCTTTCTGTAAGCATTCTGTTTTTCAGAGGTAACTTAGCTTTGGGGATTCATTGAGAGTTTCCCTTTTTCAGGATGGATATAGATCTTTAAAAATATTTTTTCTTTCACTTCTGGAAATCAGGGGAGAACTGGACCCTTACCTTTATTTTTTTCAGTGTGCATCTTAATTGGCATTCTGAAGGACATTCTGAACATTTAACAGTTTTTATTATAATTCCTTTTAGATTATTTGTCTGTGTTTTTGTCTATTTTCATATCAATATATTTAGACTCTATAATGTGATCAATAGTGAGCTTTTTTATTTTTATATTTGTGGAAAATGCTTTTCAGAGTCATTCCCTTTTTATTTAGTTATCTTATTTTCACGGTAATTTGGCATCTTGGTGTAATCAATTTTGCCAACATTTTCCTTTATAGATTATTTGCAAGTAGCTGGTACATTTACAATTGTTTTCTTTAGTTTTTCTTGTAATGTAGGCTTTAAATATTCTTACTTATCTTGAAATTATTTTGAGATTTTCTTGTCAAATACGAATCTATTCCCCCTCAAATTTTCAAATTGTTAAATAGTTGGCTTGATAGTAACTGTATCAAATATCAGCGATTTTCTCTTTATTGTCATGTATGAAATTGATTTGTAAAGTATGCTATATTTCTGTGCTTTCTGCTATTTTTGTTCATATATTTATTTGTTTCATGCCCATATTCATTATATATTAATCATTTCTATTTTTAGTAATTCGTTGGCTGATCTCACTTCATTTTCTTCTTTTTTCAATTTAATACTTTTCCCTTTATATAGTATACAACTATTCTGAGCTAAGTTTGTAAAAATTAAAAGATAAATAAAACTTGTCTCTTGTCTTCAAGGAGTACACAGTCTTGTAGAGTAGAGTCAGTTCATACTGAGAAGTTCCAAGAAAACTCCTTTGAAAGCTTAAGTTGAAAAGAAGGAATATGCTTTAGAAGGAGAAGCTTAAGTCTTGATGTTTAGGCAGAACTTCACCAGGGCAATGACTGGATAAACCAAAAGGAAACTACCAATGCACAAAGATGAGGATAGATGCACAAATAAGGATGGCTGTAGCATAGGGTGAGAGTATAGAGAGTATTGAGAATGAGGCTTGGAGAGTTGAGTTGGAGCACTACTACTGTTTTATAATTCTAGTTGAATTTTGTAATGGTTTAGTAAAATTCAAAACACCTCTATTAAGTTCTTGATCAGGGTCACATTAAATATATTATGTGTTCCATAAATAAGTATTGAGTTGAATTGAGTTCTAAATATTTTGTTTGTTGAAAAATGGGGTAGGTAAAAATAATAAAATGTTATATATAGGCTGGTTCTTTAACAGTATCAAAAACCTAAGGCTATAGTAAATTCAAGATGTGGTGTTCCTTTTCAAAGATAAAACTCACAGAAGAAAGATTACCCTCTTCAAGAATAATTAGCCAGCTTTAAGACAAGGAACATAAAATCAATTTCCCTGATTTTGCTGAAGCTTTCTCTGTAATTCTCATTAGTATGTGGTCCACTACAAAAATAAGGATTAGTTCCATTAACCAGCAGAGCTCTATGGAAAAGGAGCCATTCTGCACAGCAATAAGGAGGAAATGGAAGCAAGAAAGATAACAGATAGAAGTAGACTAATTGCTCTAGAACATTGATAACGCAATGAAAAAATTAGAATGTAGCCTGGGAAACGATATGGGCATATGAAGAATTACCTCATACTAAGTCCTAACTGTGCTTAGAAGACAAAAGGGAATAATTCAGGAGAGATGGGGAGGTTAAATGCTTTAAAGAAGGGAGATCCACTTTAGAACATGAGTTTTTAAGAAAACATGAAATGGTTTGTTCCAAAACACAGAGGGGAAGAGGGAGCACTTCTTCCTGTTAGAATGCCTTAAATAAAATTAGAAGATGTAAAGAAAGGGAAAGAAAGAGATGTTGAGGAATAGATGGCAGAGAGCCACACAACTTTCATGGATGGCTTTGACCTTCTAAATAAGTCTATCCACAGGACATCTGCACCAGAATCACCAGGGAGTGCTGCACACAAATTCAGCACCCTGGATAACTCTCATTGGAACCCAGGAAGCTGTAATATCAGGATATTCTAACTAAAGTTTGAGAACCATGGTTCAAAAGAAGTAAAAGGTTATCTGCAGGATATGGTTACATGATTGGGAAAGCATTCATGTTTTAGAAAGACAATGAAAGATGTGGGTGGGCAACAGAGAGAATTGAACCTATTAAGCACGGGCTAGTGGAGTTGAGAGGTAGGAATTTGTGTTGGTGAGGCTGGTTCAGCCCCAGAGTATGGTTAAATGCGCTTCCATGGCTTCTTTTAGGATAAAGTGTTTCCACTTACAAACTCTGTTACCACTTTTTTAATTTGTCAGGGCCCAGAGAAAATTGCTAAAGCAGGCTGCTGAATCAAGGACATGAAGAGAACTTGAGCAACTTTCCTTCTTTGGGGCTTAAAGAACACACCTTTCTTGGCAGGCAGAGTTAATGACACTGATTGCTACATAAAATCCTGTGGATTTGTTTATTCAGAATTTTAGTTTCACATATTTATGATGAACTCTGCCAACATGTCAGGCCAGACTTCCCTCTGCTGGTTGTGGCTCCATTCCATTAGATGCTTCTGCTCTACCTGCACATAACCCAAGACAGGTGACTGCCCCTGTGTGAAAGAAAACAAAAGTTATAAGAACGTAGTGTAGGTCATTGTCTTTTTTCTCTTTTTATACACGATCTGTATCAGCAACCTCCTAACTGGTCTCCAGGCTACCAGCCTCTTCCTTCCCCAGATCATCAGTGAACCTTTTTTGACACAGACTGACAACTAAACAAACGATGAAATATTTGTGATACAAATGGTAAGTGCTGTGAGTACTCATGGCTGTAAAGTTTCCCCATCACCACAGACTGAAGTCCACAAACAAATTAGAGATGCATGAGGTTTTTTTGCAATGTGTCTTATCTTCAACCACTGCCTCCCACCATTCCTGCCTCCCATGTCCCAGGGAAACAACTATCATGCTTGTGTCTGTACGCTATGCACCGTTGCCTGTGACTAAAGTGTTTTCTTCTAGTTTAGTTGCTCTGCTTCCTGTTGCCTCCCCACAGGAGATGTACTTAAATGTCATCCCTTCTCTGAAGCTCTCAGACTCTACTACTCTAAGGCAGGATTAATTATTTTTTCCTCTGGATTGCACAGTACTTTATACAAATATCAACTGCTACATTTAGAGCATTACGTTGTACTCATTTATCTTTTTGTTTTCACAATTGGACCTGAATTTCTTAAGAACAAAATAGGGTCATTAAATGTTAAATTACCCAGTGTCTGACACATTGGATGTATGCCACCAATTTTAGTTGAATACACTTGAACCAGAGATCCTCTTTTTTATGGAATCCAAACTGAAAGAACATAGGAAAGAGTTCTTTGGAGCAAGCAATGTGGACAACTCTGTCGGCATCATTTTATAATAGTAACAAGTATTTCTTTTTCCAAGTAATATTGTAGTTATAGTATCAGTTAATCTGAATACTTCTAGGATCATAGAATTTCAATGGGAAGAAGTATCTTTCAGGTGGTTCCTTTGATTTGCAGATGAAGAAACCAGTCCTGTGCTTATATTAGACTGCACAGTTTTTTTTTAAAGATTTTATTTGTTTATTCATGGGAGACACATTGAGAGAGGGGCAGAGACACAGGCAGAGGGAGAAGCAGGCTCCATGCAAGAAGCCTGTGGAATCCCAGGAATCTGGGATCATGTCCTGAGCCAAAGGCAGATGCTCAACCCGCTGAGCCACCCAGGCATCCCTGCACAAATAGTTTTTATCAAAATCCTATCCAATGGGGTGCCTGGGTCATTTGGTCAGTTAAGTGTCTGCCTCCAACTCAGGTCATGATCCCAGGGTCCTGGGATTGAGCCCCACATCGGGGCTCCCTGCTCAGCAGGGAGTCTGCTTCTCCCTTTCCCATAGTCCCTCCCCATTCTTGGGCTCTCGCTTTCTCTCTCTCCCTCAAATGAATAAATTAAAAAATTCTTAAATTAAAAAAATTCTTATTCAACAACCTTTGTGAATTCATAAGTATTAAACCATTTTTACATTCCAGGCAAATTATTCTGGGAGAACAAAATGTACAGCGCATTTTAGTTTAGAAGGAGTTCCATTAAGGAATCTTAACCTGAATTTAAGATTGTTGGGGTTAGGGAAAGCCAAGCTCCTTGACGAGAAATAATTGGTAAGTTCAAAGAAGATTTTAAATATAAGTGAAGCATTTTTCATGCTCCCCCCACCCCGAGATAATGTGAAGTATCAGGACCATCAGAAGAACAATAAAGTGGTTGGAGGAGTTCCTTTTCTCAAGGTTTAATTGAGCCTCTTCTTTTCTTTAATAGGTTTCAGAATCTACTGTGGTCCAGAAAGACATTTGTGGACAACATGAAAATCTATAACCACAGTTATATCTACATGCCTGCCTTTTCTATGAAGACAGGAACAGAGCCATCTCTCCGGGTTTATTATACACTCTCAGATGTTGGTGCCAATCAAACAGTGCTTTTCGCCAACCCCAATTTTCTGCGTAGCATTGGAAAGTTCTGGAAAAGTAGAGGAATCCATGCTAAGCGCTTGTCCACAGGACTCTTTCTGGTGAGTGCAGCTCTGGGCCTCTGTGAAGAGGTAGCTATTTATGGGTTCTGGCCCTTCTCTGTGAATATGCATGAGCAGCCCATCAGCCACCACTACTATGATAATGTCTTGCCCTTTTCTGGCTTCCATGCCATGCCAGAGGAATTTCTCCAGCTCTGGTATCTTCATAAAATCGGTGCACTGAGGATGCAGCTAGACCCATGTGAAGACACTTCACTTCAGCCCACTTCCTAGGGACCATGGAAAAAGAAAGAACTGAGCCCAGGGTATTTTTGTTAGGTTTTCTACATGACTCCAAAAGGAATGGTCAAGTCATTTCATGGATTCACATGGGCCACATGGAAAAACAAAATAAAACAACTACAAAAAACCAAGAGAAACTCCACTTTGGATGTTGGCTTGGAGGACAAATAAGAAATGAAACATCCTGTGAAATATTTTGTAGCACATTGTGGATTTGCAACTAGTAACATGCTGGTGAAATGCTGTTGGTAAAGCACGTTTACATGGTTCAAAGCTAGAAGATGCAGTTCGCAAGACAGAACTCCAGTTGTTGAAGCTGAAGAATTAATCAAGGTAGAATAAAGGAAATGCCGGACAAAGTGTTACGGATTATCAACACAATCTGGCTTTAGAGAAAAACCTATATCTTAGAACCATAGGTTTTTAAAAAATTATTATTTATTTTTGCCCTATTTAGGGGCAGTGAGTGGGTAATGAGGTAGATAAAAAGAAAATTCCTTACTGAGTAATAAAGATACAAAACACTACAGCTAGTTCTTGTGATTTGTTGAACCAAGTCTATGTTAACTCTAGTTTCCCTCCATTTAAAAAATGTTGAATAAGAATTGCTTCCTCCCCTTTTGTCAAGTCTACTTAGAGGATGCGAAGCATTGTTGAATTTAGACTGTGTTGATTCATAGTCTGATTAACATGAGCCACTTTCCCTCCTTCTCAGAATTGAGGGCATAAACTCAATTTTAGGTCTGCATTATTTAAGCCTGTTTGTATTATTATGTTATTTTAGTGCAGAAAGACTGCAAATGTGAGTGCATTATTTATTTGCAAATTGGCATAATTGTCTTCTTAATTTAATTATCAGAGATAAAGTAAAGCACAATGATGTAAAGTTTAGTCTGGAAACAGGACTGGAAAGCACATCCCTTTTCTATCTACTATGGTATATTCACTCCAAGATACACGCACACAAGTAAAACATGTGTATTTATGTACGCACACTCACACATACACACAGTTAAACAAAGCTCATCCCCATGCAGCTAAGAAAGTTGAACCCACGTGACTTAGGATGGCAAAAATCTGTAACCATTGTTGAAGAGCTACATACAAATGTAAATTGTGTACTACACATCACTACACCTCAATATAAGACAAGCCAGCTGACTGGTTGCTGCTCATAATGCTCACACTAGCATGACCCCCAAATGCTTACCCAAAATGAGCAGAATTGTTTTACTCATTCTGACTCTCCCTAACATCTCACACATCATGAATGAACCATGTATTGAGCATGGTCACACATGCATGGTTCATACAAGCAAAGGGATGTGAATTCATAGATGTTGATTCCCTTGGTAGTAGCAGGTAAGGCTACTTAGAAAACTTTTTACATAAGCTTTGACAAACTGCAAACAAACTCTACTTACAGATTATAGGCAGTTAAATATGTTTACATGTGTGAGGAAGGTAAAGGGAGCCTCTTACTGTCTTTGTGCTTTGGAATGCCTTAATCTAAAAGGAGACACTAGAAATCACTATTTTTATTCTTTTCAATGTACCAAAATATAGATAAGTTATGCTAAACATTCTACTTCATTTTTAATGGTAGAAACTTAGTTTACCATATAAATTAAAACAGGTGGCAGGTTTTGGTGGGTTAATTTAAAAGACATTGAGAAAACAAAGCCCTTGGGAAAATTCTATTTCACCACCAGAATAGATGGTTTCTAAGTAAGATTAAATTTTGAGGTTATCATAGAAATCAGTTAAAAAATGACTGCTTGACATAACAGATTATATTGATGCTTAGAAAGTTAAGAATTTGAGAATATTGATTCTGTACAGAACTGATTTGTTATTTTAATCCTATATGCCAGCAAAAATGTAATGAGAATTACTGTGAGTAAGCTGTGTTAAATACTCACTGGATATGAAACCTTAAACCTATTTCCTTTTTAGAGCCATTGTTATTATTTAATAATTACCTTAATAAGGAATGCATTTTTACCTATACATGTCATCAAAGATATAAAAGGGCTAATGAAAAACACATGCCACACAAATTAGTACTTTAACTGATAAAATTGTTCAAATGTGAGTAAAGAGCTCCATAAAGCCCATGCGTCACAGTTCCACTGAAGCTGCTATTTGGAAATTGTACATCTTGTTACGATTTCTGGGATAGATTTATACAAAAAGTTATGCAATTTTTAGACTGTGAATTTGTGGCTTCTGAAAGGCAGAACAGAAATGGCCCAAGATGATAATGTTCAATTAGACCAGTTCTTCTCAACTGGGGTGTTTCCCCTCCCCCATCTGGTGACTTTCAGCAGTGTGTAAAGACATTTTTGATTGTCATGATTTGGAGGGTGCTACTGGCATCTAGTGGACAGAAGCCAGGAATCCTGCTAAACATCCTACAGTGCAGAGGTCAGCTCCCCCACCCCCAGCAAAGAATTACCCGGTCTAAAATATTAACAGTGTCAAGGTTGAGAAACCCTGAATTAGACCAAAAGAATACTTTGACTTCTCCGAATTGTCTTCACTTAAGGATATATATACACACTGACATCATTTGAAATATGACTACAGTTAAATGAGAATGTGTTCTTAGAGTAGATTGCAGTTGGTATTATTTTATACTGACAACTCATGGATATGCCATACATACTGCCTTTTTCATGGTTAGATGTATCTAGACTAGGAGTGTGACTGTGCTTGTGTGTGTGTACACATATGTATTGTGGCATAAAGTTATGCGTATCTATCCTTATTGAAATATATGTGTTCCTAAGTGAAGATCTTTCCAGAATTATCTGGCAGAGTAGTCTGGAATACTCTATTACTATTAAGAAGTTGAAATCTAAGCACCTGTTATTTTATTTTGTTTATCTGGAATTGGGCCTCATACTTTGACGAATTTGGTCAATTATGTTTTAATACTACTGACCCTTAACATTAGCTCAGAAGATAGGTTATGGGAGACACAGTCAGTAAGAAAATATTTCATTACTTTCAATGCATCTGCCTAGAGAGGATGTCACCCTCTAATTTTTTAAAAAGGTTTTATTTATTTATTCATGAGAGACACAGAGAAAGAGGCAGAGACATAGTCCGCAGGGACCCTGAAGCAAGACTCGATCCCAGGACCCCAGGATCATGACCTGAGCCAAAGTCAGATACTCTGAGCCATCCAGGCGTCCCATTGGTCTAATTTTTAAATTTGCTTTTTATTGACAAAAATTAGGCTGCTCCATGGGGGCAGTAGAAGATATGAGGAAACTGAAAATGAGTACCTGATAGGATTTTTACCTTTTATCAGTCCCAATTTAAGAATTGCATTGATGCTAAGGATCATGAATAAGGTGACCTCTGTTTAATTTTAATTACACTTCAGTAAAATTAAGATGAGTGAAGGATGAAATCATTCTCTAAGCTAGAAAAGTGATTTTTTTATATGAAAGATTTTTATATGGAAGAAGAAAATGGATACCTATGCTTTATGTAGAACCTGACCAACAGTTTATTTTCTTTACTTTTACTTTTTAGATTTTTAAAATTTATTTGAGAGCGCGAGAGTATGAGTGAGAGAGACAGAGAAGGAGCAGAGGGAGAGAGAAAGGGAGAAGCAGCCTCCCCACTGAGCAGGGAGCCTGCTGTTGGGTTTGATCCTGGGACTCTGGGATCATGACCTGAGCAAAAAGCAGACACCTAATGGACTAAACTACCCAGGTGCCTCTGACCAACAGTTTATACAGCACTGTGCATTTAAACTACAATCAATACATGAAGTTAAGTAGTGCCATGGAATTTTGTTCCTATATAGTTCACTTTTGTTTTAACAAAGTAAATATTCCAAAATAATAGAAATGACCCCAAATGGTGGATATTCAGACAATACCTGTTTGGTTTTGCAATGTCTCATGTCCTACAAACCTTTTTAGATTATATGTAAGTTGTACCTGGAGCAATGGACAGCACAGCCTCACAATCTACATGGAAATTAATGCAAGAAATCCCAGGGTTCCAAATTGAACAAAAATATTCTTAGATTAGTCAGAAGCTTTACAGAAGTGGTATATATGATTCCCAAACAGAAAACATACAAGCACATTTCTTCTGGTCAGCAACTATTCCAGTTTTCTAGTTTATTATATGAAGCTTTCTATTTCTTTGAAAAAAATCAGCCGTCTATCATTTTGAGTTTCATGTTTCAAAATATTGGCCTTGTTAAATTTTTAACTGACAAATCTTTACCAGGAGGGACTTACAAGGAAAAACACGCCACAGTCCACCAACGCCTTTAGGGAATTCTTAATGTGTTGTACAAAACCGTTCCCACCAGAACGAGGTAATAATATCTGCTCTGTTTCTAGAGTGCCAAGGATCAAGGGCTGGAAAGACTTTTGTGAGAACCTGAGGACAAATATGTGGAGGAATAAGGACTGAGAGTAATGTTGTGCTTTTTACTTCCCCCTTCTCAGGCTAGAGGTCTACTCTCAGATTATGAGTTTTTGATGAGCACACGTCAGGAAGTGGTAAACAAGTACAAGGCACCTGAAACTTCGGCCAAACCTCTAGCAAAGTCTGTAGTAACTATAGGTAACTATGACCAGCGATTTGGGTCTGGGTGCCGGGAAGAGGAGGAGGCAAGTGGAAAGGAGGAGAAAGAAAACTGTACTCCCAAACTCTCAGAGTACCACCTAAGGATAAGTCTCTGCCCTTGACTTTGACTTCCCAACACCATCTATTTCTATCCACTACCGGGGAAAATGGCCTGACTGTTGGGTCAAGTTAGTAGCCTTGTGACTGGAGAGTTGGTGTGGAAATTTGCTGAGAAGCTTAAAATTTTATACTGCCTTAAACAGTTTTTTTTCCCTTAAATTTGTGCTCTCTAAATTTGGATGTCCTGTGACTGAATTCTGGTCACCCTGACCTAATTATGGCCCTGTCAGTGATGATTAAAAATGGAGCTTTTTTTCCCACTCAGTTGAATTTTCTGAATTCTTGAAGCTAGGGAGATAGCAAATATAGTTGACCCTTGAATGACACAGGTGAGAACTACACAGGTCTGTTATACACAGACTTTATTTTATTTTTTGGTAAATATAGTGCAGTACTGTAAATGTATTTTCCTTATGATTTTATAAATAACATTTTATTTTCTCTAGCTTACTTCATTGTAAGAATATAGTATATTGTACAAAATATGTGTTAATCAACTGTTTATGTTATTGATAAGGCTTCCAGGCAATAATAGGCATAATAGTTATGGAGTAGTTATGTTTTGGGGGAGTCAAAAGTTATATGCAGATTTTTGACTGTATGGCGGGGTTGAGTCTTAGATCCCCGCATTGTTCAGGAGTCAACTATGTTCTATAGTTCTTACATAGTCTCTTTGAAAGCTGAGGAGACTGGTCCAAAAGAATCCTGGAGCCTAGAATGTTTGTTTGTGACTCCGAAAGATGAGGACAGAATATTTAGGTTGAACACTGTAAGATTCCTATTTTGTAAGTGGAAAGAGATTTAG